CTCTTTCCTTCCAGAGGGGCTTAGAAACACCATAACTTACAATACCTCCCCTTAAAATACTGAAGTCCCAGCTACCTCCTTACAGAAAAATTAGCAATTTTACACTGTTAGCTACATATCATTTCAGTCTCAGGTGCTGAGGCACTAACATAGCACAAAATACGTTGCATTTTTGTGGTTGTCAGTCTTGCAGCAGCTTACTTTCGTAGATGCACAGAATGCTTTGGGTTGGAAGGGACCTTTAGAGATCATCCAGCCCAACCCCCTGCAGCGAGCAGGGACAGCTTTAACCAGCCCAGGGTGCTCAGAGCCCCATCCAACCTGGCCTGGGATGTTTCCAGGGATGGGGCCTCCACCGCCTCTCTGGGCAACCTGTGCCAGTGCCTCACCACCCTCGTTGTAAAAAATTTCTTCCTTATATCCAGTCTAAATCTACCCTCCTTTGGTTTAAAGCCATTTTCTCCCAGGGAGATGCTGGTATCAGACTAACCTACTCTTTTTGACCACTCATTCTGTACTTGCAGTTGGAGATGCCTGTAGCTACCCAGAGGGAAGCCAGCCAGCTGGGGTATTGAGAACAACCTGACAGCGTTGTCCTTCCAGTCAGCGCAGAGCCCTGCCTGCCGCCTGGCACAAGCCGGTGGCAAGCTCACCGGACACCTTCTGTTGATGCAGAACCACAGTCAAGGCATCCATATCGCTCTCCCTCTGTGCAAGCAACATCCTTTTGTTTTCTAGAGTTTGCTGCACACATTTAGAGTTCACATGCCTTGGAAAAGAGCAACACCTGCCTAATATGAAAAGTGAATGCGAACATAATTTTTATTACCAGGTACACAATCTCAGGCTTTGCATGTCTTCTATTCAGATGGAGGCACACAAGCAGCTAGCAGTATCCAAAAGAAGAAAGGACCAGAACTTAATAGAAAGTTTGATGCTGAACTCAGTCTGGAAGGCCAAGTAAATTCCAGCTATTGAGTTGTCTTGTGTACTCTAGCAAGAGGGGGAGAGCACAAGGATGAAGGGAATAACAGCTGCAGAAGCTGCAATTTCCTCATCTATTCCAGCACTACAGACATAAAGATTTTATAACCACATGCACAACCAAGTAGCATCCTCCATTCTCTCAACCCCAATATATGTTTCATATTTAAAGGAACATACACTCCCACCCCCAAACATACAGCTGCATCCAGTCCCAAGAGCAGCTGCTTTGAATATAAACCATTTCTACTGCTGTATGGCATTCCTCACACCAGCAAGAGTTTAGAACAGAAGTTAAAAGCAGCCAAAAAAGCTGAAAAAGTTAACTTGAACTCCATACACATTACACCTTAGATAAGAAAAAGTGCATATAGTTTGCACCACTACACATTTAGCACATCATGCTAAATGCTGTTTTCACCAATGTGTATATCTCAGAATGGAAAAATCCAGACACACACATGATCTAATATTGAGCAGTTACAGGAGAGGCAGTTTTAAGAACCCCACAATGCAGCCAAGTCCATCATCCACTGTTTTCATCTATTAGGCCACACTATCATTTTTCCCTGATTCTTTCTGCCAAAAACCACACTTTGTGATGAAAGTGCAAGTTGTTCACCTTCCCCATCTGAAGCACAGAGGCTAGAAATTGAAGACAGGAAGGGAAAGACTATGGTTTGAACTTAAAAAAATCCCATCATAAAAAGCAGACAAATAACATTTAGTACTGAAATAAGAAGATAAAATAACATCTGATTTCTTGAACATTTTATAAGTTAGCACAGTAGAGTCTTGAAGGCAGCTCAAACTTGGCATCAGGAGTGCCCAAGGAAACCAGGAGATTGAAGTTTTGTGTACATAACACAGTATCTTGGGCCTAGATGCCTAGCTTTTAAAACCTTAATTTATGCTGTGGAAACTAACTGCCATGCCAACAAAAGAGCTAAGACTGCACCTTCTAAAGGACAGACAAGGGTCTATGTCTTGGTCAATCTCTCCTTTACTACCCACCCCCCACCACTTCTCCCCAGTCACACAGCACTCTTCTCCAGCGTAAAATAAACCCCAAGTTTGTATACTGAAGCAAAAGTGTGATCAGATTGCAGCCAGCTAGATTGTTTGATATTTTTCAAACCACCCCCTCCCAGCCCCATGCATCCTTGAGCTGCTGAGGCAGGTCCCAAAGGTCAAGCAGTCTCAAAGGAGAAGCTTTGAGTGTTTCCTTAAGGCCCAATTTGAAGTTTTTAGCTAACCTGATAGAGGTATGTTTTTTTAGTTTAAGAGCAAAAAGCAAATAGCTCACATGAATTACATCCCTAGAGAAATCAGGGCTTTTGGCAAAATACCACATCTCGTGACAATCAAACTTTTTTTTTCCTTAAGAAAAGATTGTTTGCTATCAGTGATAGCTCTCTAAAAAGCAGGCATTAGCTAGCCTAGAAAAGGTGGTTATTTCCCTTGTTTTAGCTCAGCGTTATAGTTACCAACATAGAAACTGTATATATCATCCTACCAGTCAGGAACAGCAGCTCAGAGAAATATTAGCATACCACATAGAGAACAGAAGCATACAGTCTACCAGACTCTACACACTGAGAACTTTTCATCCTTCAAGGCCTTTTTAACAGGTTTTGTTTAGCTGATAGTCAATTATCACATAGAAGTTTTATAAACAATATTGAACCCCCCTGAGGTTGATATATTAAGGCCACCCAGAACAGAGCACAGCCTTCTTACTCCAAGTAGCACAATCTCTTCTTTCAGAAGGACAGCTCTTCCTTTACAGATACCCATAAAACAGCATTTCACTTTTTTAGGACCTCTCCCAGGATACAGCAAACAAACACCAGTTGTAGAGACAAGCCATATAAATATTAGATCCTGAGAAACCACTGACTTGCAGCTACTACCTTAAGCAGCCAGCCTTACTAGCCTTGGGCAATTCAAAACTTGACTACTGCCCTCAGATCAGACATCATTTTACCTTAGCTTTAGGGA